TTTTTTTTTTTTTTTTTTTTTTTTTTTTTTTTGTGGCTGTTGTTTTTTTTTTCTTTTTTTAAAACAGTAAGGCACAAAGGCAGGAGGCAAGTCCACACAGAGAACAAAGCTTAACAAAAATACAATCCATCAGAGCTAGCAGGAGAAATAATCACAAACCAGGGCCAATGGGATGGGGACAGTCCTTTTCACAGTGTCTGACTTCCAGCCCTTCCCTTGACCTGGCAGCAAATAGTATTTCAAAGGGGACCAGTCCCTGCAAGAACAAGATCTAAGGTCTTAGCTGCTGCATGGAGCCCTCAGGAAGCACTTGCCTCCTGCTATCCAACTCAGCGGCAAGCTTTCCATTCCTTACTTAAAGCAGAATTAGTTATCACCAAGCCTTTACATTGATTAGGAGCAAGCAAAAGCTAAACCAAATTGGGATCAGGTACAGCTTCTTCCCCACCTCTAGAGATTTACTTTTTTTATAGAGATGGAGAGAAGAAAAAGGGACAACTGCAAAACCTGAGCATGCCTGAAAGGTATAAAATGCTCCAGTAGATTGTTTGCATTTTCAAGGACTGAGGAGAAGCTTGTGGTGGAAAGCTAAATCAGTCCTTGCACTCTGGTCTCCCCTGATCTCATCCCTCCTGTGCCAGGACATGATCTGGCTCAGGAAAGCAGATTCAGACCTTCTTCCCACCACAGATTATCCAGAACTCATTAGCTTCTCCTCTGTGGGCAAAAAGCCGGTTGATCTCACACCCTCAATGCTATATAAAACAGTTCCATGCATCAGCCCAGGTTTCACAGATGTGCAGGATTCTATTTAGGCAATTCCTTCATTTTAATTACATTTCCTTTTTAATATATTTATATAGAATGTTCTTTTATATATATATATATGTGTATATATATATATATATATATATATATAAATTTAACACAATATTCACCACTACAGACATTTCAGAATTCAAAAAGAAAGAAAAAAGTTTGATTGCACCATTTGGACTCTGGATGAGGGAAAATGTTGCAGGGCTTTATGGATGCTCTCCAATAGGGACCTAAGCTCCTCTGAAGCTCTATAGGTGAAAAAAGAAGTGCTTCAGTCTTTCTGAAGTGATAGCATTGGATGGACAGCCCAGAGGAATGTTGTTTATAAGGTGAAATATAATCCTCATTCCTGTTAACTCTGCTGCCAATAAGGCAGCTCCCACATGAGCTAACATTACCCATGTCCCTCCTTTCTATCAGAGGATTCCCATCTTTGCCAGCCCAACCCTTTCACTCTGAGCTACACTTGACAGAAGCTGCACAAAACCCCTGACTACATGGGAATAATAAATGAAGTTTAGTCACTTGTCTCCCATTGTTAGAAGTCCACAAGCAACACATGCTGGTGATACCATATCAAGACTGAGACTAGGGCCATCTGCAAATTTGGGAAAGGCCTTTACACTCTTCACAGTCTCAGGAGAATCAACATCTTCTGCTTGGTCCCTAAAACGATCCTTGCAGAGCTGCAAATGATGTGTGACAGTCTATTTAGGAAGGTCCTTTCCATAATGCCAAGAATGACTGACTCAGCTCTCCTGTACACAAAATTTCAAATTCTGGGCCAGACCCATGTCTCATAAATCTGGTTTATCCCTCTCCATCATGCTTCACAGAAAAAAAAAAAAATGAACACAGCCAAAACCCAAGAAAAAAATAACCCAAATCCCTTTTTAAAGTCTCTAGTGTTTCAGGGTTGGGCTGGTGGGCAGGAGTTTGGTACCCTCTGTGTACCACTGCAACACCCTGAACTTCTGAAGTGCTTCCAGTCTCAGACTCAATCTGCTACTGCAGGGTGGCAGAGGACAACCTAATGGCTCTGAAAGACATCAGGACATCAGCTAGCCTCAGGAAGGGATTAGTAAAGTTGGATCCCAGGAAGATCCAACCACACAGCACCGTTCAATGAGAGATGGCTTCTGTCTCCTGGCTCTGTCCAACTATCAAGCTCTGGTCCTTGAAGCTGACTGCAACTATCAGTATCAACGTGGATCTATCATCAAGCATTACAAACTCTGCAGGACTCTGAGTCTGAGGCTGGGAATGGTGGCACCTATGCAGTGGTGATCATTACAACTAAGCAAGTACTCTTAGCTCTGCAGGATCTGGGTCTTAATGTCAGCTCTCTGGGCACAAACCCACTTGGGACCAGAGAGCAATAGTGATGCGTGTGCATTAAGCTCACCTGGCTAGGCTCTTTCAAGTTTGATACATCAGCTGAAGGCTGGAGATTAAACTGTAAGTAGAGATGGGATCGAGCTGCAAAATAGAGATGTCATTACCGAATCTCTGCTTAATTAAAATCCAGGACCTCGATCTGAGTTCAAATTCTGAAACACCCTTAAAAAGTACAGTCTGGATACAGATTTTAGCTGAGACTGATCTTTAATATTAAAGTATTCTAATAATTTTCTCTTTCAGGAGTTTCACCACTTATGCCAAAAGCGCTATTACTTACTGGAACGCTGTTAAGAGTTGAGACAGTGTATTATATACAAATTGCCAGACCTCATTTCTTGCTCATAGATCATCTTATATGAGAATAAGGAGGGGAAAAAAATAAAAGGAACAGTTTTAAGGTGCCAAGGTTTCATCACATTTTCTTTTTCTTTTGATACATTACTTCGTGAGCTTCTCTGGCTCCATTCCAGATGCCTTGGCAGTCAAAACTTCGAGGAACTGAGAGAATATAAATCCCTGTCCAAAGTAAACTGTTTTGTTGATGCCAAAAAAACCTAGGCATCATTTCCACAACTTTTACTTTCTCTAAAGCCTTACCACAATACCTTGTATCACACCTTCCCAAGTCATTTGCCATTAACCCAGCCATGGTGGTTAAAAGCTTTCATATGAGGCAGTAAAAAAGGCCTTTTGGTGACATATAAATGCAGTGCAGAGATGTGCTAAGTATGAGGAGCAAAGAGGACTGGCAATCCCCTAGTTTTATTCGGAGGTCCAACAGGCATCTTGTGGTCTGGGAGGAGTATAATACAGTTGTCATGAAGTTGCATATTCTGGACCTGCCATCCATGGGTTGCCTGGGAAAAGCATAGGCTGACATCTGTGAGAGAACATGGACCCAGACAAGAACTCCAGGGTCTTGTCTGGTTTAATATTCTCCCTCAACAAAACTGACAGTACAGACTTAGTTCTCTGCTCTGTTCACTTTTATAGGGCATTATACACCAGTGAGGAGTACAGTACAGTGGGGAGGATCAAAGGCTGCAACTGCTGACAGGGAAAGGCTCTCTTGATTTTTCATGCTCCCTTTGGATACGGCAGGAGAAAATTCTGCTGAAAATACATTCCTTGCCTTTGTGGGCCCAGAGCTTCTCAAAAGTACTCTGGCATCTCTCCCCTTTAGCAATTAAAGAGTGCAGAGAAAGCACCATACAGACTCTGGGCCCTCCAGCCACAATGACACTAATGAAGTGACACATTCAGTACAGACCAGGAGCTCATGGATTGAGTTTGCTAACAATTTGAAAATGCCAGTACTTCAGGAAAAAAAAAAGCCCTAAACATACATCCATTGGGAAATTCAGACTGACACTCATTGCAGCTGCTGTAGCACTTCCTACCAGATGCATAGCTACTGCTTAAACTATAGCCCATAATAACCATCCAAGGGCCTACAGACTCAGACATCTCCATGAATGATGGCTCCTGCAAGCACCATTACAGGGACAATCTCCGTGCTGGCAGCAACACCTGTGTTCCCGTCTCCTCCATAGTCACTAGTGACACTTAAATTGCAGAGAGAGCACAGGCTGTACCTGACTTGGCAATCGCCCACAGTCACATACCAGGCAATAGATGAGCCTGCAGTGAATGTAGAGTTAGAGGCTTTAAAAAGGAAGCTTTAATTCTATTCCCGCGGCAGCTGTTGCTTATATGAACGTGTATTTGCCTGTAACAATAACGGCTCTTCAGGAGAGAGTTTAATTCACTTCAAATCCACCTCTCAGGATATTGTTCATGATCTGCAGTCCCACAAATCATCCTCTTCACCACACTCTTAATCAATCTGAAAGCACTGAGGGCCGGGGAGGTGACAACCAGCCATGCTCTCAAAGAAACAGTGTAAAATCAGGAGGAGAGGAAGTTTAAAGGAAGAAGAAGCACCCAGGGACATGCCACACAGTGGCAATGAAAGACCAAGGGTCAAAGGTATGTCAATCAGGGTGCAAGAGGACAATAGCCCAAGGACACGCAGAGCAGAAGATCCTCTTGTTTTTCTCTGCTGTTGGCAGTGTGGAGCACAGCTGGAGATAGTTGCAGAGGTGTCATGTGGCTTTAAGCACTGATGAAAATAGTTGATACCGGCCTCTGCTATAACCTTATCTTTGCTTTCATTGATACCAGCCTGAGAAGTCTCTACCACTGGACAGCCAGCCGCACACTCATTCGCCAGCCACACAGATCTTGTCTGCCCAAGGAAGGTGTGGCTGAGCACAATAAAACTCACAAGCAGGAATTGGAAGATTAAAAGAAAAACTAGGCGTTTCCTGTCCAGCTACTTTCATTCCAACTCTTGCACATGCTAGAAAGAGCACATCTTTGATGCAAGGACAGAGCAAAAGGCAGCGCCTTCAGGTTGTATGTTTGTCACTGGAACATCCTTGGGTGTCTCACAGCCCGCGTGACTTGCTCATGCCAGCTTCGCCTTCCTCGTCAGCTATCCCCAGCCTTCTGCACTGTTTATTTATACTATCTAAATCAGACTCCGCATGGTCCTTCACTGGTGTCTGGAAAACAGAGAAAGGATGTCCCAAGTATCTGGACTTACCTCCTCAGCAGATACTGTGCCCCTGCACCCTGGGCTGCAGTGCTTTGGAACAGTGTTTCCTCCCAGCCCTGTTTTCTAATTTTACCAAGATTTATTTTTCCTTTTTTCCATAGGGAGGATGAGACTTTCACAAGGCTTCTTAGACAATAAGTATGAGGAAAAAAAAAAAAAAAAAAAAAAAAAGAAAAAGCAGACAGTGAGGGACTAGGTAGGGGTGAGAAAGGGAAGGAAAAGCAAGACAAAAAGACTATGACCCTCCATAGAAAAATGCTTTTCAGGAAACCATAAAGAATTCAGGTCCATCTTGCACAAGATAGTTATAACAACAGAGGCAGTATAACAACAATGGCAACAGAGTTGGTCTCGGACACTCCCATCCCATCCACCATGGAAAAGGAGTTAAGAGAAGCAGTTGCTATTCAATCTGCCTCCCACTTCGTCCATCCAGAATCACAGAGCGCCTCTGGGGCTGGTAAAAGCAGCTGGTAGAAGTCTCCAGTCTTTGGCCATTCTTGGGGATGGTCATTTTGTTCCGCAGCATCACCCCCTCAGGTGTTGTCCGCGAAGTCTCAGACAGATCGCCACAAATGGGGCTCGAAGAGGTGGTCTGAGTGGGGCTCCTTATGGGTGATAACAACACCCTGGAGTCTGCTGAAGAGGAGGGGTGGTCCATAATGGGGAAAGGAGGACTGAAGAGAATCAGACTCTGGGGCCTCCCAGGCCTAGATCTGCAGGAAGGCTTGGAGAACCCTGATGGCCTCTCCATCTTTGAGGACTGTGGGTTATCTCCAGCTGTCTCTCCCTCAGAGGTGCGCTTTCGGCGCAGAACAGGGGCATCCAGAGCGGGGTAATGACTGCACTGAGATGGTTCCAGCGGAGAGCTAAGGCTGCTGTGCCAAGGACAGGTTGAGTCCTTTTGAGTTGGGTCACTGTTTTCTTTCTCTGCTTTGGCTTTCTTCTCCGTCAGCGGGCTCTTGGGGGCTTCCAGGTGGCTCCATGCCACCCGTTGAGTCTGCCTGATGACCTGCTTGGCTTCTGCTTCCTTCTTCTCAGCCGATGGAGTGGTGTTCTGAGCCTGCAGGGGCTGGGGGATCTGGGTGTACTGAATCTTGGGTGGTATCACGGGTACCGCTCTAGCCTGGCACATCTTAATCATGAAGGAGGTCCTGACCGCTGACACGCTGACAGGAGCAGAGTTACGGCGGCCAGTGGTGGCATGGGCCACTGCCAGGTAATCCAAGTCCAGATCCACGTGGGCACTGAAGTGAGACCCCCAGGAAACGCCTTTACCGGCAGCAGGGCAGGCAGTCAGAAGGGATGGGACAGAATCACTGCTTTTTACTTCCTTCTGCCCACACAGGAGGTTCCCAGGAGCAGAGGGCATGGACAGGCTCTCGAATGTGAACAAATCTGAGGCTGGAAGGAGTGAATCCAAGTTGAGGGATGATGGTCTAGTCTTTACTTTGAGAGATGTTTCTTCACCTTTATTACTCAGCTGTGACTCAGAGGCAGAGCACAATGCTCTGGTGACAGTATTGCCTCCCAGGGCAGTGTCCTGAGACATGGATAACTCCTTTGTGTTCTTCCCCTGTGAAGAACTGCCTGGGCTATTTTGGTGTGGTAAAGACAGCTCAAGCTTTGAGCTCCAAGGGTTTTCTTTGCTCACATTCACTTTCTTTTCCTCTGGCTCTGAAAAAGGGATTCTGGAGGGTCCTTCCTTCCCAGCTGGTGCTTCCTCCCTGCTGAGGGGGTACCTCATCTCCTCAGGTTTTGAAGGTTCTTCTGAAGAACTTGTGCCAGTCTCATCTTGCTTAGCTTTGCTCAAACTAGAGGGTGAGATGGGTTGCGTTTTGGGCAGCTCACAAGTCACTGGCAGAATGTCACTGCATGGTTGTTGCTCGTCAGTGGCATCTATGAAAGAGAATGGGATAGTCCACAGACTCATCACTGTGTCTTTGCTGTCCAGGGAGAGGCTGCGACTGAATCGTGGTCTAAGAGAATGTCCTGTCTCTGCTCTTTGCCTCTGTGGCTGAAACTCCTGTATCATCTTCTCTTGAATGTCCTTAAAGGTGGGGGAATGGAGTGGGCTTGTAACCCACTGGTGATCCTCCCAGGGCTCCACAAGCTCTAAGCTCTGCACATTATCTGTCCAGGTATCCTCATCATCCTGGTCACCAGCATCATGGGTTCTGCTAATAGCATTGCCCTCCTTCAGCTCCTGGATTCCAGCTCCACTCAGTGCCTTGGAGGTGAATGTGTCCCTTTCCTCAGTGGTCTGTATCTCAGGCTTCTCACTCTGAGTCTGGGCTCCGCTAAGATCATTCTTTTCTCTCTGCAGCTGGCAAGTGCTATCTTTTTCTCTCCCTGACTCTGGACATGCTCCTTTGGAACAAGAAAATTCATCACTTGGGGCAACCTCATTAAGTTCTGATTGACTACAAAGTTTCCAGTCCAGGGGAGGAGTGAGGCATTCACTCCTGCTGTCCACCACTGGGTGGTGGTTCTTTGGAGCTGCTGTGCCAGTCGAGAGAGTACTCACTTTGGGTAGGGCTGAAGCACAGCTCTGCTGTGCAGCCACATCAGACTGGCAGTTGTGGAGGCTGTCTTGTTCCATGCCAGCGGCACCAAATAAAGGCACCTGAGTTGTTATCTGTGGTGTTCTGCTTGTAGATTTCTGCTGAGACAGTGTTGGACTCTGCCCTGGGCCAGAGGAATAGATATCCGTTTGTACTGAAGAAGAGGATTCAGAAATCAGGCCCATTGTGGGGACAGCTGCTGGCAAGAGCAAGAGATCCTCTTCAGGTTCAATAATTTTCAGTTCCTGCTGTATCTCTGGCCACAGTGGTTCTAGGGGGGCATTCGCAGGGTCCTCTTCTGACTGAAAAACAGAAGAAATGCCATGACCTGGCAGCTCACAACTTACCGGTAAATACACCTTCACTTTTCTCAAACAGCCCTCTTGGAATAGACAGGCTCCTGGATGAGCACACTCTTGGGTACAGAAACACAGGCATGCATACTACTACCAGTTCAAGAAAGGAAATACATCTATAAACGAGTGGATTATGGAGGAGAAGATCTGATGTGCAGCCAAAATTAGGCCTGGACAGATGTACTGAAAGAGTGAGGTGAATGAGTAGCTGGAATGTCTCAGCCTGTTTCTCAGCTCTTCCCATTCAGGCTCACTTGGCCTTGCCAGAGGATCTGCATTCCCAAACAGCACACAAACTGGAATGAATAATCTATTCAAGGAGCTATGCCAACAGATCTTTAAATAGCTGTCCAAAGATGAGTATCGCTGTAAGAAACTTGGTGAAAAAGCTCTGCTAGAGATACAGAGGAAGCAAAAATAATAACAATTAAAAAAAAAAAAAAAAAAAGATGTAGAGAATGGAAGAAAAAAGGACTGTTCAGGCTGTCCAGGACAAATGGGACAGCAAAAATAGAAGGGGAATTCAGAGACCACGGGTCAAAATGCTCAGACATCCAGACAGTCTCACATCTGGAAAGTCTCAGAGAAGACAGATTGTACTGACTGCAATCAGATAGTTATGGGAAAAGAAGACCAAAAGGGGACAGTATGTAGTTGTGTAAAGGTAAATCACCACATGGTATTTCTAGGTAGTTGTGTAAAGGTAAATCAGTACATGGTCAGTTCTTGACCCTGCTTAGCCTAGGTCATAGACTGAGTTTTCATGACTACAAACACACATGAAACTTTAAACAACCTCCCAGTCACCACCATGACATTGTCCCCCATCTTTTTTCTCATGCCTTCTTCTTACCACATCTCTTAAGCACAATCCTTCTCCTGTCTTAGCTGTCTTGATCTCCTGGTGGTCACAGCTGCCTTCTGAGGAGACATCCTTCATCTTGAGCTGTCCTTGCTCTGACTCGTCTTCAGGGAGTGGCCCTGTATGAACCTCTGAGGCCGGTGGTTGTTCCAAGGTGGGACTCTGCTCTGAGGACTGCTGGGGGCTGCTGGTGCTGCTTGTGCAGCTGCTTTGTTCACATAACGTCTCCTGATTTTCTGCTGCTGCCTGTGGATTTTCTAAGGACTCAGGTTTCCTGGCTGCCACCAGCTCCTCAGTGTGAGAGCCTGGATCAGAAACACAAATTAAAGATGTAACTATTTGTGACTGAAAACATGTGCCCTGAGAGAAAGCGGTGCTGTTCCAACCCAATGCCAACTAACAAAGCTAAAGAGCAGCCTCCGGGCACAACAGGATGTTACTGGGAGGCCACCCACCACCCCAGTCTCATTATGGCAACAAGCACCAACCCGACCTGCTACCATCAACACCCACCCTGCTACAGCTTGGTCTCTTTCCTGCCACAAGAGCAGGCGGGAGCAACCAAGCTGCAGGGCACATCCTGTAGCCCAACAGAGGTTCCACATCCCCCCTCTTTAACACACTTTTACCTCTGGATGCTGCCGCTGGCAGCGTGGGCTGTTTCTCCTTCCGCTCTGGTGCCTGCTCTGCCCTCGTGTGGGTCCCCACTTCCAGGGCAGAGGGACTCGTGCTCTCAGCCACAAGGGAAGACAGTTCCTCTAGGCTGGAGAGGGAAAGCTTCTCCTTGGCAGGCACACGGCATGGGGTGCTGTTGGTGCTGATAACTGCGGATACCCGCAGGGGGACAGAGACGGCGAAAGGCTCGGAGATGTTCAGGGCCTTCCTCTGGTGACGAGGGGAGGCCTCCAAGGGAAAGAGACTGCTTGGGAAGCCTGACTTGGTGGCTGTTTCAGAGGTGTAGAACATGCGGCCGCCTTTGGGGGAAGTCTGCTCATTTTCAGCATCCTCTGCCCGGAAGACCTTCAGCTGCTCAGGGGGTGACTTTGCCTGCGGTGTCCGGGGAGGACCTTTCTCCCCACTCAGGTCTGAGCTTTCTTTGGCCCCCGTGGCAGATCGTTCCCGTTCCCACTCACTCTCCTTACTGAGGTCATATGAGCTGCCTGTGCCTCCTGTCCGTATCTTCATCACCGGAACAAAAAACCCTCCAGTAGTCACTGTCCTCTTGAATCTGCTCTTTTCATCCTCCCCTAGAGATGGGACGATAGGAAGAAGTCAGTGGGAAGCAAAGCACTAGCAAATAACCTTTCTCTGTGAGAAGCCCTCCTCTGTTCCTTCAGGGATGAGTCCTGCCCTGGTGAACACCCACATTTCCCCGGAGAGATGGGCACAGCAGGCACTGGAGACCTTCTGGGCTCCAGCCCAGCAGCCTCCTTCAAACTGGGCAGGCAGGGCTGGATAGGATGCCCTCCAGTGGAAATAACCTAAGACTTTTATTAGAGGCCCCTCTCAATCAGATGCAGCCAAATCTAGGGCTAGTGTGCATTGCCCACAAAGATCACAGCTCCAGGCTTTGTTGGATTATTGCAAGCACTTTTCACTTATGAATGGGAATTTTGTGCCCAGAATAACCAAGAATCAAATCGAAGCGATCCCACTGATAATAAAGATGAGCTAAGGACAGTGGTAACTCCCAGGTGCAAGCACCAACATAAAAGACATGGAAAAGGGTTAAAAATGCATGCACACAGAGATGGGGGCACATGTCAGCAGCCATGGCACAAGCACATAAAGATACACTCAAGGTGAGATAAGTAAAGAAACAGACGCCTGCAGCCATACAAGCACAGGGGAAGGCTGAGAATGCAGACATAGAATCCTTCACCCTTACAGTATAGCCTGTTGGCGTCTCACCTTCAACTGGCAGGGAACACAGCGAATCCATGCTCTTCGCAGGACGAATAGTTGCTTTTTCTGTGGAAAATGAGTTTTAGAAGCAGGCTTCAGTTCCTGTGGCTTTGCAGCTTTCAACCCATAAAGATCAAAGGCTACATATAGATGGACACACCAGGCAGACATCAAAGTTATTTTCCATTTCTAAGCATTCCCCTGCTCTGTATCCACACCACACGGCATCTTACCCACAACACTTGTCCACACAGCTGGGGATCTGCTAGCACTAACAACAGCTTTGCACCTGCTGGACATGTGGAGAGCTATACTTAACCCAGCCAGTCAACACCATCTCCACTGTGAAGCAGTGGAACATCCCCAAAGCTGTTATGTACTATTAGGCTATTGGTTGCGGGGACTTTTTAACTAAACTGACACAAATGCCTTCTCACCTCTCATTCCTGATAGCAAATGTTAGGTTATTTTTATGTTGCACTCCCAGGGTCTTCTGCTGGCATAAGCATATCCTGCCTCCAGCAAGCTCTGCGGGAAATTTATGAGGGCAGTAAGCATCCTATTGTCCTGGTCACCCTCCCTGGACTTGCTTGTCCAGAAACAAGCTGCCATTTGTCACCAGACACTCTACAGGTCTGTTCCTGAGAGGTTTTGGAAGCGTGTAGCTGTTACCACCTTGAAAAGGGGAGATGGGAGGAATGTAGCTGGCAAGGAAGACAAGTTAGTCTCTGGCAGCCCAGAAAGGATCCATGGAGCTCTGGAAAATGTCTGGTAGCAAAGTTTGCTGTTTACAGTGTTGCACAAAGTAGGTAAGGCAGAAAGTGAGCAGGCTTGTTGGACTTCATTTGTTTATATAATTGAGGCTTCTGGGACTGACTTTCACGTGAGCATAGGAGAAACTCCAGCTACTTTTTGCATTTATATGAAGCCTGACTACCTTGTGCATTCATATGGCATGATGCCTTGAGCAGTGGCTCTGCTTTCCCAGAGGAACAGAATTCAAGCTGTGGAGCTTACATTTTCTGTGACTTGCAGACTTGGGTGCATGGACACAAACTGTTTTATACCATGTGCTGAGTTTCAACAGCAAGTTCATCTGTTTCCTCACATTAGACTGTAAGCAGAGAGCACACAAAAATACAACATGGCAGAGCTGAAGCACTGCTTCTCAAAAGCACTACTTCAGTGCCTAAATCTCTGCACACATTCCTGTATTTGTGTGTCCTGCTGGTAAAAACATGCAGCATCCTGTGACTCGATGCTATGCTTGGAACAGGGCTCAGCCCCCACCATCACCGGGCTCCAGTCATTCCTCAGCATCCTTGGGTTAGCACTATTTTGGGACAGTATTCCTTATCAAAGCGAGGAGGTGATCCCATGATCAAAATAGGATGGAGAGCTATTTTGAGATATGCCCTGGGCACCCTATGCAAGGCCATCTGTACCTGCAAAACATGGGGGAAGGCAGGGGTCCAAAAAGAGCTGGATCCAGCATTTGGCTTCACACTCACTTCTGATCCAAATACAGACTCTCTTATATGTGGTAGTAGGCAATGTTGCCAACATTAATTACTTTATTTTAATTCTTGTGATGTTTGGTAGGGCTCCTCCAAACACCAGCTGCTGGAGTCATGAGACTATTTAAAAAATCTTGTAACTTCATCTTCTTTCTAAAAAGTAAATTTCTTGACTTGGAGATGATACTAAAAAAATCTAGGACATATAAACCTGAAACACTTCTTTACAACTCAGGTAAAAAATGGTATGCTTTCTTCTAAAAACTGTGATTATTCTTAAGTCAACTTCATGTTTTTAGAACTTGAGTCATCATTTCTGAACACTGGGAATTGGCACTGCCATGTGATTTTCTAGGAAGCAGAGTGTTTAAGAGATTGCTGCTCAGGAGGGGCTAGAATTTGGGATTACAGCCAGGAGAAAAGAACTACTTTTTTCTTGTAAATTCTGCAAAAGTAATAGCTTCCCTCAACGTGCTGAGAGCAAGGAGCCATAGGAACTCCTGGTGCCTTGTTTTTCACAAAGGCACTGAACACAATTGGTTCTTTAATGCCCTTTCATGGAAGGAGAGCCTGCAAGGACAGTCATTCACCCAGTGCCATGTAAGGAACATTAGGAGCCGGAATCTGGCTGGGCTGGAAGAGTGGACTAATCCAAACCTACATAGCATTTCCTAGTTGCCCAGCTTGACAGCTGGGAAACAGGAACCTGTGTATCACATACCAAAATGGAATATTTACTGTAGCTGTCTGGCACATACTCCTGAAAGGGTGATTCTAGCCATCAAAGAATCATTCAGGTTGGAAAAGCCCCTTGGGATCATCGAGTCCAACCCTCAACCTGACTCTACAAAGTTCTCCCCTACACCACATCCCCCAGCATCTCATCCAAACGACTCTTAAACACACCCAGGGATGGGGACTCCACCCCCTCCCTGGGCAGCCTATTCCACTCTCTGACCACTCTTTCTGGGAATTTTTTTTCCTAATGTCCAGTCTAAACCTCCCCTGTTGCAGTTTAAAGCCGTTCCCTCTTGTTCTGTCACTAATCACCTGTGAGAAGAGACCAGCACCAGCCTCTCTACAGTGTCCTTTCAGGGAGCTGTAGAGAGTGATGAGGTCTCCCCTCAGCCTTCTCCTCCTCAAACTGAACAGTCCCAGTTCCTTCAACTGCTCCTCATAAGATTTATACTTAATGTATTCTTACATTATTCTTAATGTGCATGAAACCAGGCAACAAACATGACCCCATTAGACTATGTCAAGTTTAATGGTCTAAGTATCACGTGGATACACGTTGCCCATGCTATCAATATTGCAGGAAAAAGCTGCAGAGAGAAATATTTAACTGAAAAAAGTGTTCTTACCAGAGAGCTTCTGTGCCCTTACAAAGACGCTCCCATTTCGACTCAGTTTAGACTTTGATTCTGAGCCCGAACGGCCCAAGTTAAATATCGACTTCCATTTCTTGGACTTGGTAGATAATTTTCTCCTGGAAGGAAAAAGGGCTCAGAAGGTTACCAAACCCTAGAGACTATCCCACAAAAGCCTCCGAGCTCCCTCCCCTCAACACTGTCCCTCTTTTCTTCTCACACCTCTTTTAATTCTAAGGCATGCAAGGCGGAGCTACGCAACCAACTCTTGCTTTTCTGTAAGTGATGTATCTGTATTGCTGATTTAAGCATGTCATGGATGGAAAGACATATAAGCCAACTCTTCAGGGAATTCGCTCTGGCATCGTGCTACAGCAACTGTGATTGAGCAATCAACTATGCTCCTCTCCAGAGGGGAGAGGTTTCCGAGGCTAGAATGATCTTGCAATACAGTAAAAAAAAAATAAAATTGCCTTTTTAACAGGTCTTAATGACAGAATGAAAGATAAATTCCAGACAACTGGTGGTACTATTGCTTAGTGCACAAAGCTAGCATTTAAAGTCCATGTGTCTTATAGTTTTTACGAATTTGCAAACATAAAAGCATCCCTTAATACAAACTAGCTATTAATCCTTCTCAGGCCAACATTAATTTAATCATAGGTATTATATGATCATATGCAAGTATAATGTACTAGACAAAAAGGAGGAGGCTTAAGGGAATTAAATAATTTCTTGTAACTGTCAGAGGAAGTGGGACACCAGTTCCCTGTGTCTCTTTGGAAATCCCAGCTTTTAAAAGAAAGAAGCTGGTACTTGGGAAGCCAGTTTTCTTCTATGCATATTGCTGCATGAAGCTCTGTTTCAATTCCTTCACATACCCACTCTGATGACTCCTTCAATCTCCCTTTTTCCAGAGCAAGCAGAACCCTCTTATCTCCCTGTCTTGCTCTCCATAATGGGTTTTCTACCCCCACAGTTCTGCTTTACTTTCAGATTAATACTCAGAAGAGCACAAATCGGTCCTACAAAGAGGATTAGTATCTTGGGGATAGGACTGTTCCTTTCAAGCAATAAAGAAAAAAGTACTCTAGAGGGGCAATACACCCTTTTGTCTTAAGCTGGTTATCCTCTTGCCAGTATTCTATTAGATGGCTCCTTTTTGCTTTAATATATCAACTGCAAATAAATATCTTTGCTCCAATGCTTTATAGGTCAGGAGATTAATGAACCTCCCACTGCAGAGGCTATAATCTCTCAGAATCAGGCAGTGGAGTGGCCATATATTAACAGATAGATAGATAACAGACAAATACTTATGCTGAGCAGCAGTGCCAACAACTGCAGCAACCTCAGCTGAAATCGGACTCTTCTCCTGGCATAGGCATAGGTGGCATAGGTGCCACTATGTAAATATCTCTCCATCCTAGGAGTGAAAATTCACCTTACTGCTCGGTTAGGAGTCCAGAGGAACCTGGAGAATGATGAAGCTGAGCATGTCAATGTCACCAGGCATGCTGTGGACCAGCCGCCAGAAGGTGGACCTCCTAGGAGAGCTGTGTCTAGACCTGCTCCACCACTTCAGCCCAAATTTAGCCAATTCACAGAATCACAGAATCAACTAGGTTGGAAAGGACCTTGAAGATCATCTAGTCTAACCCTTAACCTAGCACTGACAGTTCCCAACTACACCATCTCCTTCAGTGCTAAGTCAACTCTACTCTTAAACCCCTCCAGGGATGTGGACTCCCCCCCCGGTGCCCTGGGCAGCCCATTCCAACGCCCAACAACCCCTTCTGCAAAGAAATACTTCCTGACATCTAGTCTAAACCTTCCCTGACGCAGCTTGAGGCCATTCCCTCTTGTCCTGTCGCTTACTACTAGGTTCAAGAGACTCATCCCCCCTCTCTGCACCCTCCTTTCAGGGAGTTGTAGAGGGCCATGAGGTCTCCCCTCAGCCTCCTCTTCTCCAGACTAAACCCCCCCAGTTCCCTCAGCCGCTCCCCATCAGACCTGTGCTCCAGCCCCTGCACCAGCTCCGTTGCCCTTCTCTGGACACGCTCGAGTCATTCAATGGCCTTTTTGTGGTGAGGGGCCCAAAACTGAACACAGGAATCGAGGTGCAGCCCCAGCAGTGCCAAGTACAGGGGTCAGATCCCTTCCCTGTCCCTGGTGACCACGCTATTGCTGACACAAGTCAGGATGCCATTGGCCTTCTTGGCCCCCTGGACACACTGCTGGCTCCTGTTCAGCCAGCTGTCAATCACACCCCCAGGTCCCTCTCTGACTGGCAGCTCTCCAGCCACTCCTCCCCAAGCCTGTAGCACTGCTGGGGGTTGTTGTGGCCCAAGGGCAGCCCCCAGCATTTGCCCTCAGTGAAACTCCCCCAGTTGGCCTTAGCCCATCTCTCCAGCCTGCCCAGGTCTCTCTGCAGGGCAATTCCTGAGCTGGTACAAGGATGCAAAGACAATTAATTCCTCCTGCAGGAGATCTGCGAGGTTCTGCCCTGATGGAGGCATTAGGACTAGTGGAGCTATGATCCCAACAACTACAATGCTTCTCAGGAGCAGCTGTGCCTCTCTAGAGAAGGGGACACAATTTCCTCTCGATGGTGGCTGTAGATTTATGCGTGCAGGTGTGGGGGTATCACACTAACAAAAGTCTCATTCCCGATCATGCTAAAGAACCTGCATTATTTTGTTTGCACTTTACAGTCCTCTTGGCACTTACTTGCTGTCAGGGAGGTCAACAACTGTGTGGAAGAGAGACCCAGTTACAGGGACAATTTCAGGCAAGCTGTTCTCTCGTCTCTCCTTCCGAGCAGGGTGGGAGGCAGAAAGACTCCGTGCCTGTGCTTCTTCCAGGCTCACCAGTTTCATCGGCAGGGAGGCCGAGGGGAGGGTCAGACTTTTCACAACTGATGCACTTTCTGCAAAGCAAGAAAATACATTCCAGCCTGGGGTGAGGAGAGACAAGAGCAAGAGCTTTATGTCTGTATTTGACAGGAGCATCTCCTGCAGAGCCGGAAAAGGAGCAACACGTGCAGGGGGAGAGGCTTTGTGTCAGATAAGTCTTCATCTCCCCAGCAACCTTATCCATATGAGTGCATTCCCAGCGGGGGCCACACTCACTAGCCAAAGGTTGCGTTGCACAGACTTGCTGCCTCTGCTGTAGACACTTTGGTGGGAAAGAGTTGTCTCTGAAAACCACTAGGATTCATATATTCCCCTTTCTCCTCTCCTTCGCTCCCCAGATTTTGGAGCAGTTCAGTCCCCGATCCAAACCTGGTGCCTAATTCTTTGTCTCACTTCCACATCTTTCTCCTCATCTTGTTCCAGGAAGGGGGACTGTTCTAAAAACCAGCATTACTTTACCTTTGTAATGCGTTTCAGGGCTATGGAAAACAGTGTGACAATAGCCCTGGGAACTGAAGGTCTCTGTTTACATGGGCAGTGGCAAATCCAACTTTCCATATGCCACACCAACAGGTCTGTCCTAAACAGACCACTTCAAGGTTCAGGAAGGAAGTGCAGGCTCTGGAGTCCAATCAGTACTTAGCTCTGCTGCTGAAGCAGGGTGCAAGCTACTGCCAGTGCAGAGGGGCTGGGTGAAGGGGCACTTTCCCACTAAGAAATCAACTGCGACCATCAGCATGTTCCTCTCTTGACTCCATACAACTGTTAAAAGCCAGTGGTGTTCAGCTGTCCTGGTTTCAGCTGGGATAGAGTTAATTTTCTTCCTAGTAGCTGGAACAGTGCTGTGGTTTGGATTTAGTGTGAGAATAATGTTGATAACACACTGTTGTTTTAGTTGTTGCTAAGTAGCGCTTACCATAACTTAAGGATTTTTCAGTTTTCCATGCTCTGCCAGCAAGCAGGTGCACAAGTAGCTGGGAGGGAGCATGGCCAGCACCACGTCATGATCAGTGTATAAAGTGGGGGGAGTTGGCTTGGGGGATCACTGCCTGGGCATCGGTTGGTGGGTGGTGAACAATTGCATTGTGCATCACATGGTTTTTTTCTTGGTTTTTCTCTATTTCTTATTATATTAATTTTCATTACTATTATTATTATTATATTCTATTTGATTTAGTGACTAAACCCACGAGTTTTACTTTTTTTTTTCTTTTTGATTCTCATGCCCATCCCACTGGCAGGGGATAGGAGTGAGTGAGTGTCTGTGTGGTGCTTAGTTGACAGTTGAAGTTAAAACCACAATATCAGCACTCACCAAACTTGGGCCAGCTTTTGGCCAGTGACCTGCAGCACAACCAGAAGCCATGGAATTTACTAGCCAGTGTTTCACTACAATGCTTTAGTCATTGGGAGAAGCTCCTCACTCCATGCCTACTGCCAGGGCATAATTAAGAGCATAGGAATGGCACCCACACCACCAGAGCAAAGGTGTTACAGGTTGAGCAGGGCACAGCACTTGAAATGCAGGCTCCAGGGACAGACTAACAGATAATGCCACATGTTAATGGAAGGTTGGGTTGGATGAGCTGACACATGACTGGAAAGCAGAAAGGTGGCTACTCCCTCACTTCTGAAGGCATTGTGAGTCTTTCCAGTGTGTAAAACAGAAAGCTGCTTATTTCTGAATTTATGTGAGGTCAATGTGGATCCAAGCCCTCGCACTTCCCAAGCTTAAAAGAATCTTGACAACAAAGCCATCACTAAATAACAAAAATCAGCATCTCAGAAAACTGTTTATGTCCCATGGAAAAAAAAAATCTCTTTTATAAAACGTCCCTAAGTACAAGACATAAGTTTTTAGAACACAAGCTTAAGTTTTATCCAGGGAATGTGGCCTCTGACTTAGGTGGATATGGTGGCTACAGGGCAGGTATCATCGGTATGAGGAATTACGAGTGGGGGAGCCTGAGAGAAGAATTGAAACTGTGGCTGATGGGTTTAGAGAGAAATCTTAGACCAGGACTGAGAAATAATCAGGTAGTCTTCCTTTTGTGGAAAGGATTAAGCCAGGTGAGATCATGCAAAAGATGAGCCATAGAGCGATCTGGGAGCATGATGAAGGACTCTAATATTTGAAAAGAAAATGTTGGAGACATGGATGAAGAGGACAAGAGGTAATCAGGGACTGGGCTCAAGGTGTCTTTGGGGCCGTCTGTGAGGACGGTAAGGGTTGATGTGCTTGAAATATTAGTTGAAGGGGATACAGTTAGGTCTGGAGTATATGGCAAGTGACACATGGCGTGGTTTGGGGAGGTTGTTACCAATGTTCTCTGCAGAGCTGGCTTTTCTGTTGTTGTTGAAGATCTGATCCACGTGATTCAGGATGAACTCGATCACCAGCTGCTGCACCCGCACCTCCAGGAAAGCTGCATCCCCATTGCAGCCAACTGCCTCAATCTCCTTTGACCTGCATGGGGAAAGAGTGATACTAGTAGCCAGCATTGGCACACACAGCCCCTGGGGAGGAAAGAGCAGATTTCTCCTGCAAGACTTGGAACAGGGATGTTTTCCTCATTCTTGCTGCACCTCTTGCTCTCCCTCTCTCACAGGCCCTCACCCTCTCTCTGCCTTTTCCCTCTTTTAAAAATTGTTTTCTCTGCCACTTCTGTTATTTTCTTTCCTGTCTGTGTTATTTTCCCTCCTTAGCTTTTACATTCTTCAGCAGAAGCTAAACCTGACTCTCAAACTCCGTTCTCCCTCTTTGCTCCTCTTTTACATATTTCAGAGTTGGGCCTGACAGACAACACAGAGGCCTTCAAACACGGCTTCCAGATCACTACTCAATGCTTCAATCGCCTCTCAGTGAGATTCCATGGAACCTTGCTCAGGTCTTCCCACCACCACTATTTTCAGTGCTTTGCCGTGTGCCCCAGTAGTGTCCTCTCTGCCCCCCTGCACTGCCACATTCTCACTCTTGCTTTTAGCGAAGTAACATTCCTTATCTTGACATGCCAAAGTGTTGCTGAAGAAATTATCTCTGGGCAATGGATCCTTTGTAAAGTTAATGACTGGTGTGTTAGATAATAGCTTGGGGCATTGCCAAGAGGATAACCCTGTAAGGAGACTGCAGTTGCATTGCTTGCTCCTTTCTTTTCCTCCCTGGAACTTGAACTCAGGAAAGATTGCAAAAGGAAACAGACTTCGGGTTTTTTGACAAGGGCAGATGCTAGAATGAAAATGTCTCAGTAGTAAAGGTCCACTTCGCGATATTCAATAGAGTCAACATTTGATTTATTTTCAGAACATGCTCTGCTTGTTTTGTGATTTAAAAGAGATAATTATTTAGAGAATGCTTTCCAGGCCTGTTCCTCTCTAGCCAATGTCCCTCCCTCCTGTCCTCTGCCAGCCCAGGGCTCCCCCCACCAGCTTTCCCATTGCCCCTCTCCTGCTCAGGTGCTGTCCAGGACTTTTTCCTGAATAGTTCATTCCTCTCAGTACATGTGGATGAGGTTGATGGGGAAGGGAATTTCAACAAGATACAAAATATTTCTTTTTTTTTCCAGATACTATTTTTTCTTGTTCTGCTTAGCTCTACAAGACATCAGCCAAACCTCTGCCTGCATCTTAGCTGGGCCTCTTGCCAGCAGCGTGCCAGGCATAGCAAACATGACAAACTAACTGGTGGTCTTGCGATTTGACAGAGAGTGCCATCTTAAGCCCACTGAGTTCATCTCACTTTTGCTCAAGCAGATCTGGGCCCAGGCCTGTAGTATTATTGCACTGTTGCTCTCCCTTCCAAGCCTTGCTGTCTCTCACCACCCCACTGCAGAAGCACTGGCGCTGTCAGAAATGTCATTTCAGTTCCACAGTGATGAGCTAATTCCTCATTTTTAAATTGGTGTGCTGAAGTTGCAAATAACAGCTTTTTTTTATATATATATAAGAAACACACAAAACCACAAGCTTCCTCAGATGCTGGTAGTTAAACCTCAGATTATTAAACCTGGAAGCATTTTTTTCTCCCTTTAAAAGCTGTTTGCTCTGCTCTACTGTTTCCTTTAGTTGTTCTGCTTTTCCCTGTCTTTGCATTTCCTTCAGGGGAAGGGTCTCCAGGTTCAGGTGCTGGCGCTCCCCTTGGGAGCTTGGCATGGTGCTCTGGATGATAAGATTTTCTACTGTACCTGAGGAGGTTGGGAGCCCACACTAAGGCCAGGTTTCTGGTGTGCATGTTGGTCATGTTGCTGAAGGAGGCCAGGTGAGTCAGGTGCTTGATCAGGTATTCCAGTGTTCTGCAGTGGTTTCACATGAAGAAAGAAAAATACGTCAAGTGACTGATGGCTGCTCACCAGGACAGCAAAGCTTAAACCTAGACCTGGCCTCAGAGTTGTCCCCTCCTCAGCGAAGGCAGGGTATGCGATGGCCCAACAGGCCCCATAGGACAGAGGATTTACAGCACTAGCATTTACACAGGATGGCAGCGAACACCTGAATAACTGTGCTCTGGGGTGGCCAAGGATGGGGCGTGAACCAAATAATCCTTAGCATGATGGGTATGAAGAAGATGGCAGACAGATGGGAGAGGGAATGTGATGCTGCAAAGGTTTAGCTCTTGCTCAAGACCTCCAGCAGATCATCTTCTTCTCACTACACCCAGGGCACTGGCCAAGGGTGCCACAGGGGGTCATACCTGGGGAAGGAGGATGATAGACTGCAGCAGGGAGAGGTTGTTCGATCTCTAACAACAATTGGTTCAATGATATTGAAAGGCCAGATAAATTGTTGTCAGATTTGGAAATGGTGAGTAAGCTTTTGGGAACTGACTTCTGGAAATTAACTCCAGAGCTGTTTCAGGTGATACTCCCTGATGGTGGGAGTCACCACACTGATCCTCAGCACCTCAGTGGACACTTTCTCACCTGTAATGGGATGGTGGGAGCTCCTGGATGACATTTTGGATTCGTGCCAACTGCTCGTCCTCAGGGAAGCGAGATACTGCTTCCTGCGGAGATACAAGGAAAGAGTCTGCCCTGGCAATGGACTCAGAGGAAAAGGAACAGGGATAAGGAGAGTCACATGAGACAGCCTGTCTTGACGGAATGCTCTCTTGTTACCTTACAGAACTCTTAGCAGAAGAAGCTGCTTTGTGTCCCCAGCACAGCACAGATTTGCTGCGCTGTTATTTCATGTCTTGGTACATCCTTCCCACAGGTTGGGACATAGTGGTCGATGTTTTGGGGAAAGAAGCATTTAAAGACCGAGACTTTCAATTATGAGTTATGCTTCTTTTTTTTTTTTTTTTTTTAATCTTTTCCCCTTTTTTATCTTGGGCATTTATGGGTAGAATAGAAAGAGCAGGAAGGAGAAAATTTAAAATAATGGAAAAAAATATGAATAGTGACATCCTCTCCCTGAAACTGTGTTAAATATAAAGCAGGTCTTTCAAACCCTGTGTTATGAAAACAGCCTGGATATACGTGTTCCATATTCTTCAAAATAAGCAATATTTTGGCTGTCATATGAAGATAGCCATAAGGATTGTTTGTGTGAGTTTGCATCATTTATAATGGGAGAAGCATTAGGAAAATCACTGTCCAGGTAGTTTAATAAATTATACTCAGTGTAAGAGTAGGTTAGACAGAATCAAGGCTATACATCTTGGTCTTGAGCAAGTCTCTTAAGACCAAGATCTTAGAGAGCCATGATAAGCTATTGTCTGCATTCCTAGGAGTTTACTGCACTGGTATTCATCTGTTCAGCTATTCCCTTTCAATATTTGTGCTGGGAGAGGACAAACCACCAGCGAGTTCAAACAATGCATGACTGTCTGGGAACCTACTGCCACCAGAGTTTGGAGCAAGTTCAAAGAAAGATGCTGGGAGCCACGCTGCCAGCAGAAGCTTTGCCTACAGACAGACGTCAGCACTGCTAGGAAAGGAAAGGAAGGAAATAACCCTTCCCAAACCACCCGTCGCTTAAACATTATGAACCTGAAATTACCAGCCACAACTAGAGAAGTATCTTCTTGTAGTAGTCACTACATCATCCACACTGATGATGCTGCCATCTCTGTTCTGGTCACTGTCCTTTTCCCAGCAGATCACTTCCCATGTATAACCACCAGCAAAACAAACATTGCCATTTTCAAGGTCAGAGATGAATATGAATCATGTTTTATTCCCTAACCCTGGGAATTGAGATCTATGCCCTGTACATTGAACTTCTCACTGGTGTGATGGCAAAGAAAGACAAGTGAGCTTACTAGTTTGATGCACTTGTTTTGCCCAAATTAAAGTTACATTAACTCCTTCTAGTACATTTTACCCATACCTATAGCTCTGGGTTGTTTGGTTGTTGTTTTTGTTTGTTTGGGTTTTTTTTTTAAAAAAACCCAACTATTACCATCAGCCCAGAAATCCTAAATATACGAACTCTTGTGATCTTCATACAAGGTTTCCAGTTGAATGGCCTTGTTCAAAGACGTAGATAGATATAAACTTTAACTGGTGCATATCAAACATTAGATTTCAAGTAGATTGTACACCGTATTTTCTCCCCCTGTGCTGATTTCATTCCTATACTTAACTACCATGTCACAAAGACCTAATGCTTAGACAGCAAGTGAATACCAGCCTCTCTGAAATCATGAATTATTCAAACCTCTGAGCCAAATTTCTGACCCATACATGTTGTGCCTTTGATATCTGAGGCCCTCTCCAAAACTCAGGATAACAGCAGCAGAATACAGAATTCAAGGAAAATCCAGTAACTCCATTTATTACATGTCTGTTAATGTATGAATTAATGTAATTTAAATTTTCATCTTACAAGTGGGAAGAGAACACTCGGAGGGTAGCAGAAGGTATGTAAAACGATTTAAAATCTTGGATTTTTTTACTCTAATGGTGATTCTGGGAGTGCACAATTCACAAGTCCTGGTTAACAAGTGGAATAGTCTCAAAAGAGAAGGTAGGCTTGGCCTTCTACAGCTTATTTGCTCTGAGGGAATACTCAGTCCCTCTACACCCAGGTTAGAACAAGCCAAGCAGATTCAAGTTATCTATCCCATGAAACAAGCATCCCTCAGCAGAGTACAAAATGGCAAACTGGAGAGCATGAGAGGGCATCATTTTGCAAAAGTTAATAGCCAGTGAGGTCATGACTGGGATGTTACATCTGAGAATTTGACACAGTAATGATCAAAAGGCCAGCACCTCCTAGTCATTAAGAATTTTACGTTCCTTAGCCACACATGTCTGAATCACTCTGGTGACTCAAAGTGGAGCCTATCCCATCTCAGAGACAGTTCCGACTGAGTCAGGCTGGGATTAGCATGCATCCTTTACTCCTACCAGCATTCTTCTGCTGAGGCACAGCTGCCACCACTCCTTGTTCAGACACCCCATGCATACACAAGCTCCTAGCAGGATTTCTGCTCCTTGGGGAATTGGTCTTTTTTCTTTCTTTCCTCCTGGTATCTGACTGTGCTTCCTGTCAGCTGGGTTACCCATTATATATCCATACTGAGTAGACTTAGGTGAATAATGGATTTTGTGGCTGAGCGGACAAACTAAAAAGCTGGAGATTTAAAAAAAAATCCCTTTTAGGTCAATCCAAAGTGATAATGTTTCAGGGAACTGGCACAAGATTTTAGAAAGTAATTGTCTGAGGTTCACCAAAGCACCACACTCCACCTTAAATGAAAGAAATTATCATTTAAATTTGGGGCTGTTTAACCCTTTTCTGAAAGATGTTTTATTTATGAGTTAGATGTGTTGATTTAATGTTGAAACATTTCCTTTAGAAAGTATTTATCAAAGAAACATTTAGACAGTTAAAGAAATGTTTTCCCTTTTGTTTTTGAATAAAACTATTTACCAAATATATCTACCAAAAATCTGCAAGTCATCATCACAAAACTGCACTTTTCAGCAAACATTCTTTCCAAAAAAAAGTTTCCATCTAAATCTTCATGTTTACTTTAGAGCATTTTTCTGTCATAAATCAGTAGCGATAGCCAGAAAGACATCAGCCAAACAGCTTCAACAAGAATGAGACTCATCAGTTACTGTGGTTGAATAATACCCTGCATTCTCAAGATCCTATTCATCCTGACTGTCTCTAGCTTAGAGATCCTAGCCTGTATCCTCAGGATCCCTATATCCTGAGGATACAGGTCCATTTTTCAAATCTGCTCCGAATTTTGACTAAAGGTTTGACTATACAGCTCCTTGAAACAGACCAATATGACACCGAAACAGCAAGACACCTAACAGTATCGCATATCTGTCAAGACACACAGCGAGCCAATTCCCACCCCATGTTCCCCAGCTCATTTGTTGTCCCTAGAAGCTCCCTGACTTCCTATAGCAGGTTGCTGCTTGGCTGGTCCCATCTGGCTTTGCCCTACAGCAACTCCCTTGCACAGATGTGCCTGGCTCTTCCCATAACAGGCAACAGAGAGTCTTTGGAGAATGTCGTCTTCTTGTGTGGACCCCGCGGATGTCTCTCAGTGCCTTCTGTGCCATAGCAGCACCACTTGGAAGTGACTGATTCAGGATAGAGGCAACGAAGACAGCAATACCTGAAACTAAAGTTGCTTGCCAATTCCCATTTCATTCAGACATGATTTTGCAAAACTTCTCTGCAACAATTGACATTTTTGGTGATGTCTGTCCCCTCCACCTCCCACCAAATGGGAAAGAGTAGGATGACAGAAATTCTTAACAAAAAGATGGATGTTTCTAACACTGGGAAAACAATCTTTCCCATCCCCTCACCCCACTTGTTTTAAGCAGTTGGTGAATTCTTCTAGCTGAAAATTCACACCTCTGCCACTTAACATTTCAGTCTGAATGACTGGGTTTAAATTTGTTGGTGTTAAAAACAACTGAAAGCAGATTTAGAATGGTAAGAAGCAAACAATCGTTAACAACAAGCATAGCTTGCTGTGCCACCTTTTAATAAAATATTATCTGTCATCAAAATTAGCCAACTCTCTTAAAAATTCAGTCTTTGTGGTCTTATTTTTCTGCTCCCCCGCAGTCTGCTCCTAGGCTCCAACTGTATCCCTGTATAATCTGTGGTCGTTTTGCAGAATCCAGTAACTACCTCAATGATAATCTCTTTAAAGAAAGTTAGAGATTTCTGCTTGGCCAGCTGCCACTTTCATCCACCATTTATATTTATGGCATGATCATGATGGGCCTATTATGCCATAGCTGGCATAACCTGTGTCATCATTTGCACTCCGGCAAACCATGTGAAAAATGCTGCAGATGCAGAAAAATTGGTGCTTTAAATGGGCTGAGCAATCAGTTTGTGCCAGTATCAGGGACTGTCAGAGGGGCAGGGAGGAGGAAACCACACCCTTGTGATTATGATCACAAGCCCCAGGTGATCCAGAAGACTCTCAGTGATGGACAGTAATGAGGAAAAGAAAGAGAATTAGTAATTCTGGGAGGAGATGTGCAGTGGGAGAGAAAGAATAACAGCAGGGAAGCAATGTGGTAAAAAATAAGCAAGATGAAGGGGATGAAAAAGCAGAGAAAACTAGAGAAATAAACATGAAATGGGGGGAAGAAACAAGGATGGGGAAAGAAACAAGGACAGGGAAAGAGTGTCAGGGCAAGATGAGAAGGGAAGAGCACTGAGAAGTGCATACACTGATACATGCACCAAAAGCCAGCACACTGGAGTGAATCTCAAACAGCTGTCATGGGGGAATATGCAGCACATCCACACTGCTGGAGAGGAACAAGGCCAGCAAAGCGTCTCACCGTGAATTTCTTGTAGAGCTCATAAGTGAGGAGAGGGTTGGGCAGTTCCCTGAAATACAGCTTACAGAGAGACCCCACGCAGTGGATGTCCTGGAGGTAAACTTCCCTTGTCAGATCCGGGCATTGGTCAGAAACAAATTCTTGTCTGAAACAATATGGAAACATAACAACATAGGTGAATAAGAGCTATAGCATCCCAGTACTCCACCCTAAGTATTCTTTTACAGCTAGAAGGAAAAACAAACTGGAAAGCAGCTATGTCTCTGCAGCCTGGCCCAGATTCTGTTCCAGGATCAGGCCCCAAGGTTTCAACTAGTCTCTGGTTTCCCTAACACAGTCCCATGAGTGGACCTTAAACTGATGTAAAGAGATTGCTTTGTCTTGAAGTGAACGAGAACAACTCAGCATTTGTGCTGAGACCCTCCATGCCTTTCCCTTTAATAGATGGAGAAGGAGATTTTTCTCTTTTTTTGGTCACAGACTAATCCCTGAAATTTTGTATTTCCCTGTTACCAGCTTCAGAGACAGTTTATTTTCTGCATCACTACAGAGGTCTGTTGGGCCCAGTCTATGCCTGAGGGTCTAAACAGCAAAAGGGTACCAAGCCGTGTGAGCGAATCCCTCTGGCACTCAGGTTGCCTTTACCTCAGCTTTTGTATGTTGGAAGTCACTCCTGAGAGGCGGTAGATCCCATCCACAATGCCATGAGTCTCAATGAACTCCGCGCAGCTCTTCAGCACGTAGGGGACTAGGAGAGGAAAGCAAGGCAAGATTCCCAATGAATACACACTGACAACTTCCAAAAGTCACCACAGAGGAGAAAGTTTCATGAAACAACACCAAAGTCTCTCTGCAGATGCAGGCAGGGGTACAGCAAGGGGAAAAATACAGGACAAAAATAAACCCCACAAAGTGGCCGTAGACAATTTGCAAAGTAAGGATATGCTACGGTTGTGCCATGCCACACTCATTGACACATGACAGTAACTGACCCTGAAGTCACAGAAACATGTGGGAAGAAAGGTAGGGTTTCTCTCTCCCTTTTTCTTTTCTTTCCAGAAAAAGAAGCAATTTCATTCTAATTGAAAGCATGAGGTAAAACATGAGGTCCTGGGAACCTCCCCCTTCCTCAAGATAGAGCTCCAGCCTTGCTGAATTGTGCCAGAAGGCCTGATTAGCTTGGATAAAAATCAGAGAAGCATTCGCACTTCCATATAAGCCTACATACCCACAGTTGAGTGCTCATAAACTCCCACAGAGGGGGTATAAAGTTCAAATATTGACTAGATCTGCACACTGACAAAATCTGACGTTGGCTTCAAAAGAACTCCATCAACATAACCCGCCAAAGACTTAAGCAGACCTAAAGCTGAGAGGAGCCTGAGGCACAACATTTACATCCAGACCTGAACCTAAAGCATATGTTTATTTTTTCCCCGTTATATAGGTATAGGAAACCCTCATCCTCTTGGTCAGACCAAGCCTCCCTGTCCCCAGTACTATAACAACCCTAGCTGTAACAATAACAGTAAGAGAGCCCTTCCTTTTTAGGTGCTAGAAACTACTGTGTATTTAATGCAATGCTTCACACAGCCATAAGCACAAAAGTCAGTAAATGTAGAAGTTGAAGTTCCCTGCTGTAATGCTGACTGCTGCACTGCACATTTGTAAAGCTGTATGACAGAAGACAGGCTAAGCCATCCATTTTGACTGAAAAGCCAGGCATAGAAATTATTGCATCTTTGAGACACCACAGAGATAATGCCTCTGGCCAGACCTTCCCTGAGTTCTTCTGCTCAAAGTTCAGGACCACGATGACATATTAATATGTGCTTCATCAGGCGGCATCCACAGACAGCACCCCAAGGACAGCCTGAACAAAAGCCATCTGGTACATTATCGTATTTCTCATGAGTGCCTCTGGGGCCAGAGCCAGCTCATGGATGGACTTGCGCTGACCAAGCAGGCCAGGGCACAGGCTCTGGTGAGGAGGGCTCACAGGCTGGCGCCTACCTCAGTGACACACTATTACTGAGCCCAGGCGGTCAGGCAAGTTCTACCCTTCTGCCTCCCAGCTCTTATAAGAAGGAGGTAAAGAGGTCACAGAATCACCAAATCACCTAGGTTGGAAAAGGCCTTGAAGATATCTGGTTCAACCACGAACCTCACCCTGACTGTTCCCAACTCCACCAGATCCCTCTGCGCTGGGTAAACCCGACTCTTCAGCCCCTCCAGGGATGGGGACTCCACCACAGGTCCTTTTTGTGTGTCTCTTCACTTCTCTTTTGGCCAACCCAAAGGCAGGAATAAACTATACACATATGCCAGTGATTATTTGGAAGCCTAAATGATCCAAACAGACTAATTCTTCTCAGTTAAACGAACCTCTCCAAAAAAACAGGGAAAATTTAGCTTTATGGCTTTTTGAGCAGGGATGCCTAATGCAGGTACATTAGTCATGCTGTGTCATACTCAAAGCCCTTGGGCTGATTTTTAAGACCCTCGAGTTGTTGGGCCAAGACTAACAGTGGAACTTCTGGTAGGGGCCCTTGTCTACTACAACAATGTTCATAAGAAGCCATGAAATCCCCAAGAGAACAGATGTAGTCTACAGTGTCAAAGCTTCATCCACAGCAGCCACAGAGCTATAGGATTCTCTCCTCAAGGACTCCTGAGGAGAACGTACATCAGTGCCTTCCAGAAGGAACATGGAACACATTCCTTTCAGTGCCTCCAGCGCCTGCTTCCTAAGAGGACTGGATAATGTGGGAGGAGACAGAGCAAAAGAAAAGTATAAAATTTCCTTAAAATCCTACCAAGAAAAGCCAAAGTGACATACCAAAATAGAGGAACTTACTATCCTTGAGTAAGACCTGATTATATGTAACTGCAGTAGGGAACTAAGATCATATGATGATGAGCATGCTAGAAATTTAAAAAAAAAAAGGGAAGAAAATGACTTCAGGCCTCTTCATTTCTGATTTCGTATCAAAGATGATATGGCTGGTAAGGTTGTATCATCTCTGGGACAGGAGCTATGTATACATGGCATATTAAGATTTCCTTCTTGGTAGGGGTCTCTGGGAAAAATCTAGTGTGAATAGCAAAAATGAAAGCTAGGCAAGATCCATGTTCACTTTGGATCGATTTGGGTGGGAGAATGGGTGAACCACTCCATGCTAACTAGAAAAAGAAGAAATAACTGAACAGAAAACATATTTGATCAGGACAACCACTTGACAAGGTTTGCTTAAAAATTAAAAAGTCTTTCATATAGACAAACTTCATATGATGGTGCTTAGCTGCCAAAAAATTAGGTCCCACAGACCCCTTTATTATTTTTAAAACCTTGGTGTTAAGATCAAGCACAACAACTAAAAATGCATATACTAATGTTCATTGTGACTATTTGACCTCTTGAAAGTAAGACCTATAAAATCACACTATTTTTTTGCTGAGTTTTAAGTTTCCTTGGGATAAATTAGGTCAAGAGGCCTCAGGCAGGTAAGCAAACCTCTTATACACAAACCAGAGAAGGCTAGATCCATCTGTTGAGGACTGGTAAGAAAAAAAAAAGAAAAAAGAAAAAAGGGGAGGGTCTGAGGAGAATAATCTTTACCAAATGTATAAAATTCAACCCATTTTTTAAAAGTAGGTGAAGACTTCATAGTAGACATAACCTATAGGCTGCAGATAGACAATATGCACTGAGCTCTGCCAGTATCTCTTACTCCAGCCCTGAAGTCTTCCCTGCTTTTCCAGCCCTGAGCTTCTCACCTATCTCTGTCAGTGTCCTTCCCTCATGTATGTGATTTCCTGCCATACCAGGTCTTTGGCTCTTATGAAGAGAAACAGCCAGTTACACAAAAATGTGTGGCAGTTTCATGATAAAAAAAAAAAAAAAAAAAAAAAAAAAAATCCCACGTAGGACACATTTCACTTGTAACCAAAAATTATGGACATTGACCTCAGATCTCTGGAGGTGAAGAGACTTCATCAGCTTCCTGCAAAGCAAGTCCCTAAATGCAGGGCTTGTATGAAACTGGAGCACAATAAATGTTTTCTTTGAGCAGAGCTCTGAAATTCCTGAGCAGCTCTGATCTCCTACAAAGCTGAGTCTTTTGGGCACTCGGGGGAGGTGAGGTTAGAGGGGCAGCGAGCAGCTCCCTCCCACTTCCAGGCATTTCTGAGGTGGTTTGATTATTTCAGACATGGCTCCTGATGAACCAAAACAAAGGCTGTGATCAACCCTGAATGCATGGAGGTACAGACTCCAGCATGTGCTTTACAACGGGACGCTATGGGCGTTACAGGGCACATGGAAATCCAAGAGCTGGGTCTCTCCCAAAGGAAGATGGGACATAGATGAGGGTTTGTAACAGGGACTGTGAGTGTGCGTGCAGGCACAGAAAGGGGTGGAGGGTGGGGGTATCTAATCTCGACACTTCTATAATTAAAACTGTGCTGGAGGCTTAGAAGTTGGAAGAGGCAGCTGGTGTCACACAGACCCCGCTTGTTCTGCCAGACAACCAAACTGTCCTCATTTAAAACTACAATAGAAACCAGATGGAGGAGGAGAAGAGAGCGTGGAGCAAGGCATCAGTCAGAAAGGAAATTGAGTTATAAACATACTGCACACAAAAGACAATACTTCTCTTCCCCCAGACAAAAATAAACCAGAAGGGCAGTCACAGTAACTCGTTCCACTCTCACTGGGTATCACCTCTAAACTCAGTGTACATTCACCTTCATCAGGGTCTTTTCCATGACCACAGCTTGTGCCACCTACTTTACACGTATGCTACTCCTGCTAGGTCAGCTATCGTGCCTCCCTCCCTCTCTGGACCCTCTGACTTCCAGTGCCAGCGATGGGCGCTGAGCGTCTCATCTCCCAGCATTGCTGGGATAGAGGAGGGCTCTCCCTTCTCCTGCCCCTTCCCAGACATGGTGCTACCACCCACCAGACCTTCCCAGCAGCGAGCAAGGTGCTCCCTCTGCCTGCCCCACAAAGGCTCCATCTGGCACAAGGCTGAGCGTTTTGGATCAAAGCTGGGGAGACCTATCAGCATGTACATAACTAAATCACCAAGCAGCCCAAGTAGGAGGGGACGGTAGGAAGAGAGGGAGTCACCCCATCTAACAACTGGTGGCCTCCTGGTCTCCCACCAAGGCCAGCAAAGAGCAAGAAAGGCCCTCATCCAGTCAGAGTTGCAAGCAATGCCCTGTAGCCTTCAGTGCTGCCTTCTAGAAGGAACTCTGAGTCTCCATGGGCTACAGAAGGACTGTAGGGAGGAGGTTGCTAAGTCCGCCACCCTAACCAGTCAGTGTGAATAATGTCCAGTAAGACTGTGCTTAAAGTTAGCTAACCTGGACTCAGACATGTGTTCAGGGTACACTGGACTGAACTGGACTGAATAGCAGCAGGTTTCATTTTTGACTTTATCCTTCTGATGTTCTCTCAGAAGGCTCCTTGCAAGGATAAAAATTTAGTGACAGAGCTACTTGGGTCCTCCTTAGTGGTCAGTTTATGTCACATGGAGAAGGTTTCATGTCCTCTCTAATTTTATTTTAATTTTAGTTCGAGTAACAGGAGAGTAAATGCAGACCTTTCATTTTACCTGAAACACCCACTTTTTGATGTTTGACTTGCAGGAAATACAGGAAATAGTTTGCCTTTTTTTTTTTTTTTTTTTTTTCCCCTATGAATCCTGCATCATAAAAAAAAAAAAGTGGCCATTTTTATTTCAC